GGCTTCCACGCCCAGTTATGTCTAGGTGGTCAGATCTATGCGGATCGCATGTGGAAAGAGATTCCGTCTCTCAAGCAGTGGTTGACTATCAGCGGGAAAGAGGCTAGAAAGAACGCGCCTTGGACAGCGGCTAACGAGCAGGATGTTTCTTACGCGTACTTCCATTACTACACCAGCCACTTCGATCAACCCCACATAAGGGAGTCATTTGCGCAGATTCCTTATGTCTGCCAGATCGATGATCATGACATGTGAGTCCCCATACAATAACAGTCCACGAGCAGCACTGACATACCCACAGCTTCGATGGATTCGGCTCGTATCCCGAACACATGCAGTTCTCGAACATGTTCAAGAACATCGGCCGCATCGGTATCGAGATGTACCTCCTCTTCCAGCATCACACAACTCTCGACATCCTCCGTAACGTCAGCAACGACATGGACCTCTTCACTATAACCGGGACAGGCTGGCACTTTGTTAAATACCTCGGTCCCGGCGTCGTCGTCGTCGGACCAGATTGCCGATCAGAACGAAACCCGCACCAAGTCATGGCCGGTCCCACGTACCAGGGTCTCTTCCCGAAAGTTGCAATGCTACCACCCAGCGTGCAACACTGTATCTGGATGATCGCCGTGCCCCTCATCTACCCCCGCCTAGAGACAGCAGAACACATCGTCCAGACCGTCGCAACAGGAAAGCGAGCCGTGACCGGCGCGTACAACGTACTAGGCAAGGTAACCAGCTCGGTAGCCGGAGTGGTCGGCGCCAAGGAATTCGTCGGCTCAGGCTTTGACTCGGTAAAGCGAGCCGTAGGTAAATCCGGACTGATGGGTGGTATATTGAGTCCATTTGGCGAATTCAACTCGATGGACGAGCTACGCGACCAATGGACACACGAGTCGAAGGTTCGTCCCCCCTCCCCAAACTCCCACCCCATCCAAGCCATACCATACTAACCCAACCCAGGATCTCGAACGCACATATCTCATCCGCACACTTCAAGGAATCGCGCACCAAAAATCAATCCGCATGACCTTCCTCTCCGGCGCCGTCAACGTCTGCGGCGCAGGTCTCGTCCACGACCCCTCAAACCCCTCCGATCACAAGACAATGTACCAACTCATCGCCTCCCCCGTTGTCAACACCCCGCCGCCGTCTTACATCATCAAGCTCCTGCACAGCCACAGCAAGCCCCTCTACATCCCCGCCAACGGCCACAGATCCTCCGGCCAGGTGAGCGACACCAAGGAAGACATGATGGAGATCTTCCAGACGGACGTCAACGGCCAGCCCCGTGAGTACCGCAAGCTCATGGCGCGTCGGAACTACGTCGCTATTGTCGCTTATGACCCTGAGGCGGTTAATCCTTCATATGGCCATGCCCCGCCTGCCGCGGTTGGTAAATTGAGTCTGGCGGCGGACTTTATGGTTCAGGGTGAAGGGGCGCTTGGGAATGTGGTTAAATTTGGGCCGGTTATTGTACCGTCTTTGGATCATGGGCGGTGATGAGGTTTGAGGGTTGAGTCTTATATATGTATTGAGGGATTGTTTGTTTTTCTTGCACAGCATTCTTGTTTATTCTTTTGTTTGATGGTTTTCATTTGTTCTTCTTGGCGTGTTTGTATATCTGCCGCTTTTTCTTCTCTGTCCTAGCATTGAGTTATGCGCCCTTGTTTTGTGTTCATGCCCTGTTGATATTGAGATAATTATACCGCTGTCTGTTCTGACTGGATTCTTGACTCGACTTGCAATTCTCTGAATTAATAATCTTAGAAACAGATGATATCTATCAAGGAAAGAAAAGAGTTTCTCGTAAAGCAAAGTACCTGATAATGTACAGTATGGGGTATCCGGGGTATATCAATAGTAAAACAAGCAATCAACGCCAGCATCCAACAGAAGTAGATATACTTTATCCAGTTGGATCTCCTCCCGGGATGCAAAGACCAATGCGCCAAAAATAATCCCGATGAGCATAAAACAGCTCCCAAATCCGATACCTCGCAGGTATAAGAGACCAATCCCATCGGAGAGGCGATAATCTATCCTCACGACCAGGAAGATCTGAACATTTACGTTCCAAGACTGCTTGCTCCTCAGACATACCACCACCCCTCGACCGACACCCCTCGCTACTAGAACCAACCAACCCAACAGGAACATTCAAATCCCGATACAACTTAACCAAAACCCCCTCATTCCCCTCACCGGCAATACATCCAGGATCCTCCCGACCAACACAATGAACCACATCCTCCCGACGCGGCGGCAGCTCCTCCCTCGTAATAAAAACCTCCCCAGCATGAGGCCGATATCCCCACTCCGCAAGCGGCAGCATAGGAACCGGATCCCCTACATGCGTCACACGCCGAAAGCGCATCCCCCCTTCAAGCGGGGGTATCGCTATCCCATCCCCGAGTCCGAATTGCTCGTCTAGGAATGCCGCGAACGCCTCGTTCCCGACCATCGGCTCCCCGAACGTCGTCACCGTTGCATCCCAGCCCTTCAGACGCATCTCGAGGCCTGCTAGCGCTGCGACAGCGCCGCCGAGGGAATGGCCGACGAGCGTTACGGCGTAGTCTGGGTGTTTTTTGTGTAGGAGGGAGAGCTGGGGGAGGATTGTTGTTCGGGTCTGGAGCCATGAGAGCATGAAGCCGGCGTGGACGGTGCAGTTTTCGCAGTGCTGTCCTGTGGGAATTGGGATGGTGGTAGTGGTATTTTCTTCGGGGTCAGGGTAGGGGACGTAAGCTTGGGGGTAGGCGGATAGGTCGATTATGGTGTTTGTTATTGAGTAGGTGCCGCGGAAGGCGAGGATTATTTGTTTGGCGGAGGGGGTGTGGGAAAGGGCCATGTAGCCGCATGAATCGGAGAGGAGGAGGCCGGTGTTCCAGGTCTACTGGATCGTTGGATTAGGTTAGTGGGTGTGTCTTTTAGAGTTGACTAGGGATATGACTCACGGTTACTAGTTCTAGATCAGGGAACTCGTCGCAGCGGCTGAGGCACTGGAATGGCTGCTGTACTCCCGTTGTTCCAACGCAGTATGAAATATCCACTAGCCGGGATAACTCCTCCAGGGAGTTGAATAGGTCGTTTGAGACATGGTTCGTCTTGTTTTGGGCTGAGGCGAAGCTCAGGTAACAGATATATAGTAGCAAAGGAAGGAATAAAATGCTAGCCATGGCTTAACATACTGAATTTGGTAGGAGGGAGGGTATAAATCCATCTTTAAAGGAAGAGAGCATGACCGCGTGATGTGGAGAGGTGACCAGAATCCGGGGTAACTCTATTATGTCATCGATTTCCTCATTGGTCGGTTTATGTCGATCAATCTTGGAAGGTACGACCGGGGAGCACAACATACAGTCTACAGACATAGGTCTACAACTACGTGAATGTCACGAGGGAGTGGAATGTACTCGAGAAATTCTATCCAATACTATATAATCATGCTAACCATGGACTGAGGTCAGCATTCAGACGTAGTTCAAATCAGGCGGTCCAAATGACAACACGGCCGTCGACACCGCTCGCTATAATAATATGTTAGTCTCGTACATCTCAAGTTTTCAGGACGGTGATCTTACTGCTGAAGGTGCTCACAACCCCGCCGGCTTCTTCGTGGACCCGGATGGTGTGCACAGTGTTCTGGTGTGTGGACTTGAGCTTGGTGTCCGCCTGGGCCTGGCCCTTGAGATCCATCTGCCGGAACATGTTCAAAGCAGACTCCTCGCGGGCACCTCCGGATTCTCTAGCCTTATTCTCCAGAGAGCCAGCAAGTTGCCATCCATTCTCGTCGCCGTGGAAACGGAAGGGCTCACAGTCCTAGATACGGTTAGCGCAAGTCGTATTACTGAAAAGGAATGACTTACATGTCCAGCTGCAATGATCTCAGTCTCGCCATTCCAAATAAGACTGTTAAGTGGCAGCAAACGGGTAGCGATGTTCAACATCGCCCGCGGGGGCTGCTCTGGAGCGCTCGGGTACACGATAGTCACACTGCTATCGTGTCCAGTGAAGGCCAGCGCATTACCACTAGGAGAGAAGGCAACACCCTGAATCCAACCAGCAGTATCGTTCAGGTATTCGCCACAGATGGTGTTGAAAGGAAGACGCTCTCCCCACGCACTGGGCTCTGGGCGGGTATCAATGCCCTTGATGAAGCTCGAGAAGACTCGGGCGTGAGAATCGGTCGATCCGGCTGCCAGTAGGACGGAGTTCGGGTGCCATGCCAGGGTTGTGATCGTGCTGCGAATAGGCTTCTTGATGTGCTTCGAGATCCACCAGTCGTTCTCCTCCTCAAAGTAGCAGACTGCAATCACTCGAGCGCCGGAGCCGACGGCGAACTTCTGCTCCGATGGAGACCAGCGCACAAAGGTTGCGGCACGGTTGATTCGGAGAAGGACCAGAGTAGGCTTCCATCCAGTGGGGGTCTGCTCCCAAACGTAGGCATTGCGGTCTATAGAACACCCGTTAGGTATTGTATATAGTATAGTAAAAGGAGGTTGGCCAAAACATACCCTGTGAGCAAGTGACAATTCGGCCGCTGTTGGGAGCGATATCAACGCTGGTGACAGTCTTCTCGTGGCCCTTGAGCTCATCGCTCAGCGCGAACTTGTCGCCTGATTGTTGATACAGTTCCACATTGTTCTCCCGAGCGACAGCAAGTGTCTTCTTATCGGATGAGAACGAGTGGTCTGCAATTGGTGCGTGGAAGAGATGGTGAACCTGAGGAGCGGTCATATTGATAATAACGACAGGAGGATCTCTCTACCGTCGTGCTTGTGTACTTGATTGTTGTAGTTGCGGGATCAGGAGGGGAGCTGGGGGATGACGGTGCTTAGTAAGTGGGTACATCACATGACCCCAAGCTACTTTTATGTCGAGGTTTTGAGTGGTAATGGACACCACACGCGATTGAGCTTTGTTTTCCCATACGCAATCTCATTTGCTCCTTCAGTCAGACGGCAGAATCTCTACCATTTCTAATCATCCAAGAAATGGCTTCAAAATCACAGCCCGCCCGTGGAGGCGCTGACAGCAAGGCTGTCGCTACTGGCGCTCCTAACCAGACGTGAGCTTGCCCTTCCAAGCACAGGAGATTGTCGCAGATTGGCGCTAACAATTTTTAGACTCTACTGCACAAATTTGCCCGACAGAAGAATTCAGAAACAGGATCTCCGAACCGCACTCTATGCCTTGTTCTCCACATACGGCACTGTTCTCGATGTTGTTTGCATGAAGACCAACAAAATGCGAGGCCAAGCCCATATTGTGTTCAGGGATGTCCAAGCTAGTACGCAGGCACTCCGGGCTTTACAAGGATTCGATTTTTTCGGCAAACAGATGGTACGTTTTCATTGCGCTTCGATCATCGCAACCCCCCGCTCAATCAATGGATGTCTAGAAAATCGTGTACGGCAAGGGATCATCAAATGTCATTTCCAAACTTCGGGGCACATACGTCGCGCCAGTTGAGACTGCGCCGGCCCCCGTCACGACCGACCTCCAGAAGTCTATCTTCGGTGCTCCTCCCGGTGCACTCCCTCCACGACCCACAACCGATACCAATGGAGAGGGCCATGGCGTGAAGCGACCGCGTGAAGAGGAAAGCGACAACGAAGAAGCCCCGATGGACGAAGACAGCGACGTGCCTATGGACGCGTCCTCCGATGAGGAGTAATCTAATGAATGAGACCCTACTGGGGACCAAGAGAGACTTGAAGTCTTCGATTTGCATTTGATTTTTTTTTATTCCCCAGCGTTTCCAGCATATGCAAGATTATTGGCTGGTACTGTGCTAAGCAAAAAGCTCGCGTGGAACGTGCAGGTTCACGCAATGACCAACAAGGCCAAGCCAAATGAGGAGATATGACCCGGGAGTGACGCTCTGTGCGTCTGCAATGTTCGCCATGGCATCCGCGGTGTTGCATGGGTGGACGAAAAATGTCGGGGCGCCAGATTCAGGATGGTACTACAAGAAAAACAAACCAAAAAAGAAGACATGAGCTCTTGTCACGAGGTTCGGAGAATGCACCTACACCCATGCTAATCCCACCCATTACACCCACATTCTTCAATTCTTGCCTGTATCGTTCCGGCACGACATACTGGTAGACTTCTTCTAGTCCGAGTGGGCCGTGGTTGTGCCACCTGAGGCCGAAGTACAAGACGGGGACTTGATATGTGGGGGACAACAAGATGTCATAATCGATCTGTAAGCTGGGATGGGGTTTGGCGCGAACGAGAGCTTCCTGCGGTGAAGAGTCAGGACAAGTGGACACGTCCCTTGGGGGCTAGAATTCTGCAGACCGGATCCTCGTCCTGTGATTCTTCGAGGTCCTCCAGGGCTGAGGGTTCTAGCGGCTCTTCTAGCGGGTTGGGCACATTGACACATTTTGTTATTCTGAGGCCGAATCCCTCTGGCTAGTTTCATCCAAACCATATTTTCCCATCAGTTCTTCCATTCTTATTTCGTATATATAACAAGGGCCAAATAAAGTTTAAATGGTTCATGCATCAGAAGAAGGGATACCTTTGTGAGCAGTCGAATGGCGGACCAGCCAATATTTTGGGCTGCAATGCATCGATCGGCAAGATCTTGACATGCCACCTCAAACTCCGACTGCGCCAGGAAGGGGAACGTAGAGCAAGATGCGGCCATGCGGCTGAAGCTGGGGAGAGTGCTGTCAGCTACTCCGTACCAGCGCCGGATGCAGATGCTCAGTTGTGAATGCGGTGTGGCCAGGGTAGGGATTTCGCAAGAGTAAGAGCGCTTGATCCCACTGTTACTGTATATCAAATCAAAGATAGAGGAGAAGACATCCGATGTTGGAAAAGATGAGAGGAAAAGGAGAGACGATTGCGGCAGACTGGCTATAGAAAGAGAAGAAAGCAACAATGGAGTTGTTGGGATACTACGTGTGCAATGGTGTGCAATGAGGTACTAGGTACATTTGTAATGTATTACATCTACATACTAAGCTAAAGTACTAAGTACATCCTTCTCTCCCGGTTGCGGCAGAAGAGGTACCTGTCCCGCGTGGAGATGTTCCTTGTCCTCTGCATTCCTCTGCATGCAGCTTCATCTGATGCAAAGGCGCATATACAAGTCTTTTAGTGGCGAAAAAAAGAATGCTTGCGTCTTCTTTTGTTTCTAGCGTTTAGTTGCATATACACTTCGTTTGTCTGAATCTCTCCCCACCTTCTTATGTATCGTGGTCCCCCCAGTGACACTATCCTGCCCAATTTCTGCTATTCCCACTATTCTCGTTTTTTGTGACTTTTTCTTATTTTTTTTATTTCTGTTCTTTGCAAATTGTGTCTATAATCTTAATGTCGATCCGATCGTGTATCTGCTGATTTCGATCTACGCCTGGGCACCTGGTCTGACCTCCCCGGCAGCTGAGATTGTGAACGCCTCAAATCCTGCTTTGGATAAGAAGGGGACTTTCCGGTTTCCAAGGGCTATCTGCTTTCGACGTTACCTCAATTCTCTCCGTCATCAGCCGTCCATCTCTCCAGTCCAACCATTTTCTGCATCGCAATCAATTCGAAACGCGGTCCTCCCCATTATCTCCGGGATTGTTGGGGAACCCTGAGCCGCCAATCGTACGCTCAATTCCCAACCCAGCCGTTGCACGAGCTTGGAGCTCGGATTACGTCTCCTGTGATCAATCACGGCGTTGCTTGGCGTCGGTAGTCCGGGGTGCGATCTAATCTGAAAAGCTCTATCGGGACAAGCTTGGAAATTCCATCTGGCTAGGTCACCCTATCGTCGTGCGGGGAACAGTGATCATACTGTCACCAAGCCCTTATTCTAATTGTATATCATTCTCGCCCCTGCTGCATGCCCAGTTGAATCTGGCCAGAGCATATCTGAATTGCATCTGCTTCTGAAGTCATGGGCAACATTCATTCGAGCAAAGCCAAAGACGAGACCCACCGCTCCAACCGCCTTTCAAAGCCCCTGACAAAGAAGTTCTATGTCGGCCAAAGTTCTGAACGCGAATCAGACTCTCCAACAGTCAGATCAGGGCTAATAGGATGGCAAAACCCTTGGGTTGGCAACACTATCTCCAGTGCCCCTATGGAGAAAAGGGGTAGCTATCCCAAGAAAGCCGAGATCCCACCTACCCTTTTTGAAACAGAGTCGTCCGAAGAGACCCCGATTGAGGATCGAACGTTTATATATGAGCAGAGTCCAACGCAGCGTCATCCGACCCGTCCGACCCTGTTGAGCGCGAGCTCTTCGAGAAGAACATCCTACCAATCGGAAGCCTGGGAAGCATCTTCCCAACGCTCGCCTCTTTCTGAGCAGCCACCAAGACGGGCCAGTTCGACTCGAATTCCCTTACGGAGACACAACAGCGCTGTTTATGAAAACCACATCGGGGATGCGACATCCTCCAACACCCACTTCTTGGTTGGCAACCAACGATTCTCATTAACGCGTCGACGATCGCTCCTAACACGACCCGGGGTTGCCACGAGACGAACAACAGGCGCAATTCGACGCGTCCCTTCGCCCATTGGAGAGCCTGAATGTCCGATCGAGGATCCGACTGAGGTAACCGTTTTGCAATGGCCATTGCCTTCGACCCAGCGATCGCTGCGTTTGCCATATCCGGCGCGTCCGACGAGTCCGATGGATGCCCGATATACTCAGCTCGGGGCACTTAAGTTGGGGTCTTTGCGAGTTGTAAATGGTTCGGCCTCCCCATGTCCGAGCGACCGAATTCCTTTGGATGGGCCCGGCGCTCCAGGCTCTGGTCTTGGGCTTGAGAACATAGAGGTCATAGGGCCAAACAGGGGGTCCACGCTGGAGATTACGTCCCTGCCCGACTTGAAGAAAGTGGACGATGTTCCAGGCAGTCCATTCTCTTTCGAAAAGTCTCCTACTATCACAGTCCACCCTCGGACAAAATCACTGTTTCCTGGGGATTCCGAAGATGAAGGAATTCTCCTCTTCGACGATACAAGAATTCACTTGGAAAAGGGTGCTCTGGACGCTGGTCTTTCCCGGAGCACTTCTCAATCCCTCAACAAGTCCGACAGTGGCTACAGCTCTGCCACTTCGGTCCACTCCGTACAGCGGAGCCGAACTCACAGTTCCGCTGACTCACAAACATCTAGCTCATGTGGTGCAGACAGCTCAAAGAACGTCAGTATCCTGAAGCCGAATCGATCGGGCGACAAATTGCAGCCTTCCCTGACCTTGGTGACAAAGTCGGAGAACTACTCAACGCTGTATCCAGCCACTCCTCGCTGGTACGATTCAAGCGACCCGACTCACCTCGCTCCGTCGCGATCGCGTCGGTCAACGTTGTGTGCGCCCCGATACACGGAATATTCTTCGCGCGACTCGTTCCTCGAAGTCAAATCCACCTCCCTGGTTTATGTTCCACAGTGTCAAGGCTTCACCAACGGGCCTTTCTATGGAGATCGATTGTCTATGGAATCGTTTGATCTTGCGTCTAGTACGGGGTCTACCATAACCGGAGAATCACCACCCAGTCACCAACAGCACACTACTGAAACGAAGGAGCGACTTCGCAGGTCGGCCTCTGAATATCAAATTAATGAAGAGTACGCTACACAACTCTCTCGGTCCAACAGCCAACTGGGAAGCATCTGGAGCAAGAAATCAAGCGTTGAATCTCCTCCGCTGCCCACCATCACGTCCCCAGGCTACTTGCAGGACGACCTAGACCTTGTCGCTGAATTGTCTCCTTCCGAGCCGATGCGAGGCCGGCCTCGAAGCCGGAGCAATGACTACCGCCGGAGGTTGACGAATGCCCGCCAGACAGATTTGTGCATATGATGACCTCCCCATCTTCTGTTTATCCATCTTCTGTTTATCCATCTTCTGTTTATCGACAATTTTGGTAATGATTTTATTAAGTTTCCCGTCTTGGATGTTATTTTTGATTTTGTCTCTTTTGCCCATGGCGTCAAAAGTTCATTTTGGAGTTAATGTGGTTTTTTACTTTGGCGGGAGTTTGGGACATTTGGATATGGAGTCTTGTTAGGTATACCCTTTTGGAATTGGATGGAATTAGTGTCTCATCTTGCGTACACAAATCCATGAATTCTGTCTGCCGTATGCCATGTGTTGTTTCGTAATTTTAGGGTTTTCTTGGCCATTTAGTCTAATGCATGCATGGGGATACGACCTCAGCCTTTCACCGTGTGGCTAGTTCGGTGGCTCAGGCCTTTCCTGGCCATTCCTGCATACGAAGTAAGGTTATCTAGTCAAGCAAGGGGCTTTGATTTAAGAGCACAGACGCAGGGTCGGAGTAGCGAAGTAAGTTCTTACAGCCTAACAAGTGCCATCAGGTGCATATTACCTGTCTACAGACGGGATAGCAATATGATAAACATCGATGTAGATTCATTATCGTAACAAGATTCCAATCAGATCATATCAGTAAACTCATAGAAGTAAAAAAATAAGTAAAAATGCAGCAAGGAAAAGAAAAAGAAACGCCACCCGGAGATCCCAATGCAATCAATTATACAAGCGCATAGCTTTCAAGCCAGAAAAAAACACCGAATCCGATTCCAAATCAGAGAATGCGAATCTTCTTCGGCGTAGGCGCAGCCTCCTTCGGCACAATAACCGACAAGACCCCGTTCTTCAAACTAGCGCGAACAGCATCCTGATCGACGCGCGCGGTGAAGCTGAAAGTGCGCTGGAAGTCACCGATCGACCTCTCCTTCGCCCAGAAGTGCGGCTGGTCGTCCTTGGCAGCGTGGGAAACCGCATTGCTGGAAGCAGCGGTGTCGGCGGAGCTAGTAGTCGACGCTGCGTCCTCGTCTTCGACGGTGGCTTGGTGCCAGCCTGCGGCTGACGAGCTGCGGCTGGAGCTGGCTGAGGCTGAGCCGTTGTTGGTGTCGTCACTGATGTACTCGCGGTCGGTGTGGCCCTTGATCACGAGTGTGTGGGGATCGGTGAATTCGATCTCGATGTTGCTCTGGTCCACGCCTGGCAGTTCGCCGTCTAGGCGGTAGGCGTGCGTCAACTCGCGCACGTCAAAGGCGGGCATGAAGGAGGTGGGTGTTTGGATTTTGGTGCACTGTTGGATCTTGGTGCATTGGTTGGGCTTGGTGCATTGGCTTGACTTGGTGCATTGGTTGGGCTTGGTGCATTGGCTTGACTTGGTGCACTGGTTGGACTTGCAACATTGGGGAGACTTGAGTTGGTTGGCAAGCTCGTGCTCATTGAGGACGAAGAGGGGCCCAAGGCCGGATTGAGTAGTGAAGAAGGCCATTGTAGATGAGTTTGGGATTCTTGGATTGAAGATTGGAAGAATGATGATAGATGATCTGAGAGATTGTCTTGAATATTGTGTTCTGTTCTAATTGTCCTGGAATATCTGCTATTTTATATGTTCTGCTTCGTTATAGTTGATGGTGGTTGCTATACTTCCGGAATCGTCCAGAAACGGATGGCACATTCGACCGGCCGCCAGCAACTTCCACCAACTTCGAGAAACAACCACTTGATTCTATGTATTCCGTTACATTATATGCTGAATACTACTACTCTAATAATCTGATAAATGAATATTTTAGACAGCATGAATAATGTGTGATTGGTAATTACTCGAAACTTCCAAGGGCTGATAGTACCGGTACGGAGTAGTCATCGAATATATGTCGTACATACGACATAGTTAACCAAACTAATTATGTAGGTAGAACATGACAAAGCTTTAATGACTGATCATTCTATGATATACTATGACATACTATTATACAAAATGCTTCCAAAGCAAGGCCTCGACCATATCAGACATATTGCCTTTCGCGCAACATGTTAATGTTCAACATGTTCGCAGGAATTCGGCCTGGAACCAACGATGCTGGAGATCTCCAAGTCTATTCCAATGAGTAAACTGGTAAATATATGAGGCTGAAAGACGAAACATACAAAGCTAGCGTGTAGGCACCCCGAGGAACCAAGATTCTGGGGTTGGCCCCATCCGCTCATCGGATATTGCGGATTCCCGGGGTAGCATATAACTCGAGCTGTCGATGACCTTTGCGCAAGAGATATTCCACGGTATTAAAGTCCTTCTTATTCACCGCCATATATTTTTGGAACTCAGCCCTGTATTCCCGTATCAGCCGGATTGCACATATCTAGGGGAATGCCCGTTTGGGGAGAGAAAAAGGAAAGGAAATGACAGGGAGATAGGCAGATAGGCAGATAGGCAATTGACAGAGCCTTACCGGGCATAGTTCCTGAAATTGATCCTGGAGTCCTACAATAGAATAGGTTATCAGCTGAAGTGACGTGGACGAGATGATGATAAACCCACCTCAGGCTTATTCCGGATCTCCCGTAGGCATTTGCGGTATAGAGACAGGACGTCCCTCTGGAGACCGGAGAACCGAGCCATTGCGAATCTCGATTATTATATGAAGAGGGAAAAGGCGTGGAAATCATTGGGTGGAGCTGGACATGTTTCCCGCTGACAAGAGAGGCCTTTCCCGGCCGAATGGCGGATTACTATCACTTCGTCACCGTCTCCCCTCGAACTTCCAACTTCCCCATATATTCCATACTCCCCAATGTCTACCTTTACTGTGAGTATCTTAGAATAAAAATATACATTAAATCAATTACTGCATCAAATGCTGATTTCCTAATAGCACCTCATCCGCTTCCTGGCCAAGGATGGCCAAATCTACTACGGCGATGCTATCCTCCCATCCGGAGTGAGCGATATCGCCAAAGCCACCAAGGCCAGAGTCATCCAGGGCGACATCTTTGGCCAGTACCGGATCACCGACCAGGTGGCAGAGGTGCGCATGCCCCTCGCACCCCTGGCCCGTAAGGATATCGGCACAGTCCGATGCCTGGGTCTCAACTATGAGCAGCACGCCAAGGAGGCGAACATGCCTATCCCCAAGTATCCAGTGCTGTTCTACAAGCCCGTTACTTCGGTTTCCGGGCCCGTAGACGATATCCCCGTGCCCCAGCTGGCCCAGGAGGGCGAGGGCCTGGATTACGAGTGTGAACTGGTCGTCGTTATCGGCAAAGAGGCTAATAATGTCTCCGAGAGCAAGGCCCTAGACTACGTCTTGGGATATGCTGTCGGTAACGATGTCTCCCACCGCGATTGGCAGATCAAGCGGGGTGGTGGCCAGTGGGGACTGGGTAAGGGCTTCGATGGCTGGGCTCCGTTTGGTCCTGGCATCGTTTCTTCCAGTCTGATTGCCGATCCGAACAACTTGGCTATCTCGACCAAGTTGAATGGAAAGACTGTCCAGTCTTCCTCCACTAAGGATATGATCTTCGGCGTCGCTAAGACGATAGCTTTCCTGTCTCAGGGAACTACACTCTTGCCTGGAGATCTCATCTTCACTGGAACGTGAGTTACCCTGATGAGCAAGCAAATGATTTGAATTTGATAGACTGACTGCTTTACAGACCCCAAGGCGTGGGCATGGGTCGCAAGCCTGCTTTGTGGCTGAAGGACGGCGATAATGTCGAGGTTTCGCTGGAGGGCGTCGGATCCTGTGTCAACCGCGTGGTCTTTGACAAGCCTAAGGCCAAGCTCTAAATTTATCTCTCTTGAACTTGCAGTAGACCAATGATATAGTTGGTACTGGTTCAAGTTGTATATAACTACCTGCACATCTCAGTCATTGCAATTGATCATTGTGGTTATTTAGACCCAAAATTATCTCTGCATCCGTAGTCCCGTGTGCATTACATGTAAAAGAAAAACGTAAATTAGGATCTAAGCAGTCTGGGCGCCGTATCCCCTGATTCTCTCGGCAAAGGCCCAGCTCTGACCCTGAATCTGCTCATCCTCCTTCAGATCAATCCCATCCTTCGTGATTACGGCTATCGAGTACTTGTCGGTACTTCGTGCATCGCGGTAGAACAGAACCTTCAAGCACTCCTTCAAGGCATCAACGGCGTCTTCCTTGCTGACTTGTTCGAGGGGGTACCCTCAGGGAACTTGCGGCGCAGGATCGGGACCGCAAGATGAGCACCAAATCCTGTAGCGAGATGAGGAGCAGAGAATGTCGTCCCGAGCAAATCTGCCGAACTAAGGAAGGGCTCTCCCTCCGCATCGAAGCCTGCGACAAGCACATGGTTCCAAAGCGGGTTGAACTCAGAGCGTCGTTTGTAGAAAACCTTCGCAAGGTACGTGTGCAGGTTCTTGGCGTTGAGCATGTTGCCGTGAGGCGAGTAATTCTCCTTGATATCCATGGAGTCGAGGAGACGGTCGATGTATTGCATGTCGGAAACGTCACCGCCAAAGCCAACCATTGCCTTATCGCCGAAAGTACGCAGACGCTTCACATCGGAGAAACGAGCCAGGGATCCGTAGGAAGCTATATTTTCACAAATCATATCACGTCAGATGGGAATGCGAAGGAAACGGAACGTGACAATGGAACGGCATACCTAGGTTGTCGGTAGCTATAACGACTCCGCCATTAAACTTGACACCCACCACTGACGTTCCCGTCACTGCAGGGGATGAGGTATGGGCCTTGGGACCTGTGGTCTGCAAATATGAGTGATCGTAGGCACCGTAGACATCGTTCCTGGGCTGGACGGATAGTTAGCAACAGAGCAAGGACTGGGAAAGTTGTGCCACCTACGCGACCCCAAGCTTCAGGTGAGTGGTTCATGATGAATGGAGATAAATGACAGTTTCAACGGTGCTCGAAAGGGAGGATTTTGCAGACAAGGAGGGAAGACAACAGATGGATAGCACGGTAGAATGATGACGATACTCCGTAGATGGGGAGCTAGTTACCTTAGGCAGTCGAGCTGACGGAGAACTCGGCTGACTAAGCTCCGCGTTCACCAGGAGGATGTAGACTATAACTACAGCTGTTATACTAGTTTAGTAGTCATATCCTTTAATACAAATCTTCAAGAAAAATGAAAGCAAACAATTGGCTATAATAAACTCACTTCCAATGTCTATACATGTGCTTCTGTCCATCCCGATTTGGTGCTCGTATTCGCTTCCAAAGGGTCAATCCCGCCTTCTCTGGTAAAACGTATAAAGCTCGTATAAAAGATGTGACCTCCCTCCATTTGACAATATTTAAAATAATTGATATCCAGAATTTTATTTCTAAATCTAATGTCTTCTCCCGATTCAAGTCGTGCTGGATCAACGGCCCCTGCCCCTGCCATTGACAATGGCCCTTCACGCGTGTATAATATCACCAACAGGCTCTTCCACAGGCACTACGACATCAACTCGGCGGATGATCAGCCTCTGTTCTACGGCGAAGTATCTGTGTTCACTCTCAACAAGCCTGACCTTACTCTCCATGCTGGTACCAGCAGCCAGGCCCCAATTGTGGCCGTCTCCAAATTCCGGAAGTCGTCTGGTGGTTACAAAATAGGCATTGGAAACCCCGACGATGTGAACGCCGTCCAGTGGGAGGATATGACCAAGGAACTCATCCACAAACCAAAATACCGGTTCGAAATGACATCTGACCAAACTCAGAGCGGGAGACGGTCATTCCTGTGGAAGCGTACACGCACCGTTGGCGTTGAGGATTCAGCACCGTCTAAATGGACCGCCCGGAACTATAAGCTCGTGGATGAGCACACCGAGCATGTTCTGGCCGTATTTTCAGGTGCGAAACTGGGCAGAGGTGGGAAACTGCAAATCAGAGTGGAATACGGAGAAGACTTTGATCGAATGGTGTTGGTTTCTTGTTTAAGTTTGTATGAGAAGGCGAAGCGCAAACAGAAGGCATCCAGTGGTGGTGGCGGCGGCGGAGGATGTTGAAACAAGCATCATTGTTGCAATGTATGATCCACAAGTATGATAATGTACACGAGTCTAAGTGTGCGCTATGTCAATTGAGAGGGTATCGTTGATCCTCTTTCTGGAGTCAGTGGATCGACCACCAGTATGTTTCTCCAAGATGGGCACATAATCTTGAAGGTCGAAGATAGAAGAGCCCTCCTTCTTGAATCGTAGGATACCAAAACGGAAGTTCCCATGCCCGGCAGGCAAATACCGCGCTACCGAATATTCGAAGCAATCAAGTTATGTGCTGGAGCCGCCGTTTGAGGTCATAATCTCTAGTGCTCAAATTTCCGGAAAGATCTGATGCACCCGAGACCATGGTAGATCTGGCATACTGTAGGGTTGGTATTCTTGGTCCGGTTGCCGCTGAATGAATCTTCAGGCAGATCCAGTGACAAAATCAACCGAGCTTCGCTGGCCCGATGCCTTTTTCTCCTCTGATTGTTTACGGAAATTTTGCTGGGTTCTCAAGAGTTCCTCCTTGAAACCCCATTTCGGTAGATTGGAGGGATTCCACAAGTCGGTTGGCAACGATGTGTCATATTGCGATTGCTCATCGATCCCGGCATGTTCCATCATTTTCTTCAGCAAGCTTGGATTCTTAAGCGACGACGAGCTGGCCAATTTTGAGTTGAAGTGTACGCCTTGTTTTTTGAGCGCGAGGAAATGCTCGAATTTCGCGTTCGCGGCTGGGTTAGGAGACCCAGGAGGTGATGGTGGAATGTCTAGATTGGGAACCGGGGGGAGAGTAAGGTCTTGAACGAGTCCACGTGAAGCCGAAAAGGGAGATGAGCGTCCACTTGTCGAATGCTTGTTCTCCGAGAGGGGCGCCATGTCGATAGAAGCGGGGCCAAGGACCGGTCCTTCTGGGACAGAATCGGTGGCTATGTAAAAGCGTGCCTCTTTTGATTGTTGGTTGGACGGTTTATGATCTGAATAAATCGTCAGCGCCAATCGTCGGAGCTAGTCCCGAAGAATTAAGAGGCATGTTACCTTCGTCCTGGCTAGCTTGTAAGGTTGTAGGTGGAATATCCTTGTTACGCTGTTGCTTCAAATCAGCAACTCTCCAATGCCGTTGTTTCGGAGCTGAAGATACCTGAGAATTGGGTGAAGGACCATTCTGTTCTACCTCATCCTCACTGTTGCTCTCATAGTCACCAAGACCAAGCATCACGTCGCAATTCGTCCTAGGTATAAGCGTTGAGACCGAAGGAGATCAGGATAACACTGTGGTAAGATCCAGAGATATGGACAAGTTTATCTTTCGAACGAGAGTATGTCAAACTTAACATGCAGAAATAAATGAGGCGCCGTAAGTATCGAGAGACAGCCCTCCAGGGCTCTCGGGGAGCTTGGATATTCCTTACCTAATCAATAGAAGGCAGCTACCGCATCGCGTCAGACACCCAGCTTCTTTGCTCTCCATCCTCCAGAACGCCCAATCTCCAGAATCCTCTACATCCAACCCTTTAGTCTTTTTTATAAAGCTGCCGTTCTGATATTTCCTCCCGATCAAGCTCCATATCCCCGAAAATGACGTCGCTCATGGGTAACCAGTCTGGGACTATCGGATACTCCTTCTCTGAGCCAACATCCGCTAATGTCAAACAACACTCGTTCTACCCGTAAGGAACAACTCGATCACTGTGCAGGAAAACTGGCTAACAGTTACACTAGTTACACCGATAATGGCGGCTCCACCCTCGGCATCACAGGTGCTGATTACGCTATCCTCGCTGGCGACACTCGTTCCACATCAGGCTACAATATCAACTCTCGCATGGTACCCAAAGTCTTCAAGATTGGCGGTGATGATGAGACCGGCGAGGGAGCTAGTATCATTCTTTCTGTTGTTGGTTTCGCCGCAGATGGAAACGCTCTCAAGGAAAAGCTGGACACCGTGGTGAAGATGTACAAGTACCAACATGGGAAAACCATGTCAGTGGGAGCATGTGCACAGCGATTGTCGACTATCCTCTACGAGAAGCGGTTCTTCCCGTACTACGTACATGCTATTCTGGCTGGTCTGGATGAGGAAGGCGTGGGAGCTTTGTACAGCTACGACCCGGTGGGTTCTTACGAGCGGGAACAGTGTCGGGCTGCCGGTGCGGCATCCAGCTTGATCATGCCTTTCCTGGACAACCAAGTCAACTCCAAGAACCAATACATCCCAGGAAGCGGAGAAGGACATGCCCTTGTGGCCAAAAAGGCCGAGCCTCTGGATAAGGACACGGCCAAGAAGCTTGTACAGGATGCCTTTACAAGTGCCGTGGAGAGACATATCGAGGTTGGCGATGGTTTGCAAATTGTGATTGTTACCCGGGAGGGAATCGAGGAGGTGTTCCACGCCCTGAAGCAGGATTAGAGTGTAGGACATGGTAGATCGTGGCCTTCTTATTGGGCGTGGGGCTCATTTTTGATCAATGATCATAAACATAATTGAGATGAATGAAATTTCCATGAATTGATTGATATATTTACGTTAAACGTCGTCAAGCCTCTAAGATCAGAAAAAGAAGACAGCTTAAACCTGATGCACCTTGAACGCCCACACCATGCCAGATGAGATAAATGAGTCGTGGAATCAGAAGCGTTCCTTCATTCGCGAGGCGACGGTCCGAAGGTTGCCATAAACCTTGCCCTATTTTGTGTTAGAAGAATTCCTTTGAAGATTTATATGATCAAGTCTTACCGGAGGGCTACCCAGAATCAAGCTGACAATTGCCTCTCGGGCAATGTGAATGTTCTTGAATCCACCGAGAATGTGAATCTTCTGGTCTGCAAGTACCACTCGTGTCCGGCTGGCATTTTCGATTGCAAACTTGGTCTTTCCGTCCTTGCCTGCAATACGTCCGATGGCACGACCGAGATGTTCTCCGTTCAAAGTCTTCACATCCTTGATCTCGAAAGTCTGGATGTACAGATCATCAAGTCGGAGAAGGGCAATCGCATCGTCGAGATCGAAGCCAAGAGTGAAGGCCTTGACGAAATCAGCACCTTTTTGCAGAGCTCCCACATCGGTGGTAAACTTGGAGGTTCTCAATTCTACTGATCGGGTCTTGATGTTCATTCGCACTTGCAACTTGAGGTGCTCGACGATAGGAGGGCAGATCTTGGCCCAGCTCGCTTTGAGCGGGGTCATACGGTGCGGTGGGACAGGCACCTTTCGTGTCTCGATCCGATATGCGGCGGCGACGTCCTTGGCCGGGGTGAAGACAGGGCGACCTTCCTCATCGATGCGCATTTCGGTGTCCTCCGCAGACTCGGCGACGGGGTTAATCGGAGCGCCCTCGTCCACGGCTTGTACATCGATCAGAACTTCATCATCCTGATCTATTGATTGTCAGCCTTGAAAATAATATTTGCAGATCGGATCGAGTACTCACCATGAGAGACAGTCTCTGGCTGAAACTCTAGGGCCTGCTCTGGCTGGCGAATAGCTGTAGGTGCCGACATTGTGTTGCTTAAGGAATCAAGTTTTTTTCCTCATAAAATCTGTTATCGTAAAATTTAATCAGTTCCCCCCTCACGGAAAAATGAAGTGTGGGCGGAAGGGAATTTTTTGCTGCAAACAAGACAAACTCCGATGATTTCATTCGGGCTCCTCGCAACTCTTGCAAGCTTTCAAGCTTCTTGTCAACAAGTCAACTGCTGTTCATGATACAGTGTGCCTGTCATATTTTCGTGTCAAGTTTCTCATTCATGTCCAGTATGTAAAGACAAACATGTCTGCCAATCTGGGACGCCGGCTCTATGCCCATATCTGGGATACAGCAAATCCATTTCTTGGTCGCATACGAATAAATCGCGTATCGGCCTCCGATGCTTACGCCTCAAGATCATTCCTCGATTCGTCCCTTTCAAGCCACTCACGACGCATCTCGACGCTCCCAACAAAACCCACGCGGTTCAAAAGATTCGCTTCCGGTGGCTTCTTGGTCCTCGGCGTCTCACCTACCTCAACTGCTGCGGACAATACCGCAGCATGCATCATCTCCTCTCCGAAAATCGCCGCCCAGCATGTCTGGAAGCGAACTTTACACACCTCGAATGACCGTCGACGCGGGAAAGCAGCTTCGCAAGACACTCATGAACGCAACGAAAATGACCATTCCCAAAAACCCGGCCAATCCGGCAAAGATACATCCACCGCACATTCACAAGTCAGCCCACCCAAAGATACTCAACAACCAACAACGACTAATCGCCACTTAATGGATCGCTTACCACATATGCCTCAGCTACATCGGCCAACCAAGGAGGAGCTTTTAGCTGCAGCAACTGGGTTCTGGTCACGCCTCAAAGTACGATTCAAATGGTTTTCTATAAGAAGTGTTCGTCCTTACAATATGGATGAGATAACTGCCTTATTCTCGTGGGTTTTGCTGGGTCACATCGTCTGGGTTGTCGTGGGGACTACCACTTTCTTCTCGCTCCTGATCCTTGCGATCAACACAGTCTTTGCTCAAGGTACATCCATCCACTTTATGCCGCAATAAGGTCTGGATACTAATGTGCTTGAATAGAAACATTGGCGGGGTGGGTGGGTAACTATCTTACCAAGTCTTCTGGAGTCAAAGTTGTCTTTGAATCTGCAATCGTGCCCAAGTGGAAAAATGGCGTCATCACCTTCAAGAATGTCTTTGTGTCGAAGCGACCAGGCCAAGGCACAGGCCATGTCAGTAAGGGATCTCCGAAGTCTGCGGCGGCTGCAGCCGCAGCTCGAGGTGATACTGGATTAGAAGATTTTCAGGTAGTATCTGATGAAGAGGAAGATACCAACTACACACAATTTGATCTGTCGATTGAGACGGTCAACGTGACATTATCATTTACCAAATGGCTCAATGGAAAGGGCCCACTTCATGATGTTGAGGTGAAAGGTATACGAGGTGTTGTTGACCGCCGCCACGTTTACTGGCCGGAGGAGGACTTGGATCCTAAATCCTACCGACATGAGCACCTTCCTGGTGACTTTGAGATTGACTCTTTCAAGATGCATGATCTGCTTGTCACCATTTACCAACCGGACAACTTCCGGCCCTTCTCCGTGAGCATCTTCTCGTGCGACCTCCCTCAATTGCGGAAGCAATGGCTCTTCTACGATTTCCTCTCTGCCAACATGATGTCTGGGTCCTATGACAACTCCTTGTTCACAATCCACGCTCGTCAAACCCATGGGTTCACGGGCCTCCGGCAGGATAGCGAAGAAGAAGAAGAAGACGGCAAGCCAAGCCCGTGGAAGAAACATAATCGGATTCGAGTTGATGGACTCAATGTCGACCACCTCAATCGCGGTGTTCAGGGTCCCTTCTCTTGGATTCACGAAGGGACAGTAGATATTGTGGCCGATATCATGTTACCTGCAGAAAATGATGAGAGCTTGGCCAAGGTGATGGTTGATTTCTATGATCGGCTAGAAACCACAGTCACCACCAATCGTTATCCGGAACCTCTATCTTCGTCTTCCAGTACAAATTCCGAGACTGAAGATCGACGTTTCATCGCCATGGATATGCGCGTGCACCTCAACAACGTTCGAGCTGTCGTACCCATCTTCACCCGTGACCTGTCTTACATCAACAATGCACTGATTCGTCCTATTGTTGCCTATATCAACTCCAAACGCACTTTTATTCCCATCAATTGCCGCTTAGTCAAGCGCGTTGGAGATTTTGATGGCAGCTGGACCGTCTTTGACAGTGGCCTGATGGATGACCTGTCAGCTGCAGTGAGTACCCTTTCTCTTTTCCTCCCCCGATCATTACTGATAAATTCTGCAGACCTACGACGCATTTGCGCGAGATGTCGTGGATGATCAAGCCCGGAAAAGGCGGTTCAAGAAAGTCGGGTTCTGGTCCCTTCAGCTGGCCGCCCAGGCTATTTTCATGGGCATGGCTGGCAACATCGCCTAATTGTATCATTCTGTACCACCTTCGACCGGCGTTTTTCTCTTTCTTTTTGATTTGGTCTGTACTATATAGTCATTGCGGTCGCATTTACAGGAGTCTAGGTCATTTTTCTAGATAGAAACCATCTCAAGCCAAGTCTGAAACCGAACTCAAACTAGTCCACTGTGAGACGATGTCCAGGCATTGCCCTGGACATTCAAAATATTTCCATCACCAACTTCCAATAGCTTTCGGTCACTTTCATGTCACTCGGTTCCACCGCAGTTGCTCCGAGTGCTAGGACGGCTTCGTACTACAACAGTTCATATAACTATTATTTTCTCATTCTATGGTGTTTGTAAAAGGCCATTATAAACGATACACTGTAATATATAAAAGAAAAGAATGATTCAAAGTGACTGGAAAGAAAAACAGTTTCGGAGTAGTTATATAGTTACTCGTGATAGTTATTCTTACTACCTTAGGTAACCCCGACAGAAAGGGATTCTGCATACCAAAGACATCTCAGATCATCTTCCTCGCTTCTTCTTCTCTTTTCCTCTTCAGAAGGACTGCGATTCTCTCATGATCGTCTCCTTAGTATTTATCTAATTTTTTGTTATTATTCTTATTGGCTTGATACCCCCTTTTCTCCCCCCCCCCACACTGCACTTAAGCTCTCTCACCCTTTCAACTCTCATTCTCTGTGCCACAAAGGGAGTGTTCATATCGTTGCTTTCTTTCCAATCAGTTGATCGGTTAACAATACCCCCTGTTTTGCTCCCTGGCGCTTAAGCTTCAGCTTCCGGGGTTCCGCGCTTTCGCCCTTTGGGCCTTCGCCTCGTGTCGCCCCCCGAACGTGACCCCTCTGATGAGTCTCGACTCTGACAGCCATGTCGCAAATCCCGCGGGAGAATAATGAAAGCCCGCCAACTTCATCTAATAATCGGTCCGGTTTCTCAGTCAATAACGGTCTCATTCCGCGAGATTATTTAGCTCGATCTGATCAACGCCCCGGTCCTACTCCTGGTTCCCGAAATATCACACCCTCCCCGTTGCATACAAGTTCCCTCCCCCAGTCGCACCGTGTCGGCGGATCTACATCATCCGACAGTCCCCTATCTCCGAAATCCAACCCTTCTTCCGCCCAGAATTGGTCGCCAATCACTCGCGTAGCCAATGCACCATACACTGCGCCACCCTCCAGTACTGGTCAAAGCCCGTCGCAATCACCAGAAATGGATTCGGGGAATACTAGCGGTCGACCTGGCGAAACCAATACGCCGAAATCAACCCGTGCGCCAGAACCAGATCGATCTGGCTCTTCCTCCGTCAGCTCTGTACACTCGATGCCGGGTGATCGCACACCCAATCGCATCATGCCTCGCACCTCGTCAATCGATTCTGCTATCTCGTCCCTGTCCTCCAGCTCTCAGAGATCGGCCTTTGATGTCAATGCTCTGAGTTCAGCCGA